AAAAGGAAAGAAAGAAAGAAAAAAAGAAGCAGGGAGCACATTATTTTGAAATTTTTCAGAATTACAGGAAAGTGTCAGAAATAGTATGGAGAGCTTTTACTATCAGTATATCCTTTACATACCTTCCACTAATGCTGTTCCTGCAGTGACTGGACCAGAAAAATTAACGTTGACGTGACTTGATTAACTCATCTATTGACATGGTTTGATGAACTAATCTGTATACCTTACTTAAATTTCTGTCCTCAGCATCTCACATTACAGCTAGTTTTCTTATTTCCTTAGTTTCCTCCAGTCTGTGACAGTCCTTTGACCTTGTCTTTCTTGGTCTTGATACTTTGGAAGAGTGTTGGTCGTTATTTCATAGAAAATCTCCCAGTTTGGCTCAATTTGCCTGTTGCTTTCTTGTGATTAGATTGACGTGGTGAATTTTGACCAGAATACCACAGAAGCGATGAAGAGCCCTTCTCGGTGTGTGATAGCAGTGGCACGTAATAGTGACGTATCTAGTAGTCCTGTTAACTCTGCTCACTTGATACAGTGAGGAAACCTGACAGACACCTTACTGAAAGTTACTGTTTCCTCCCTTTCCCCTCGTTTTAGCATGTATCATCAATGGTTCTTACCTGTACTAATGTTGTGGTGTTTGCATAATGTTGGTTTTCTGTTTCCATCATTCTTCCTACATCCATTAATAACATTCTGCTGTGAGGAGAGCTATCCCTTTCTCCCATGCATTTATTCATTCAGTCATTGAATCATTATGAACACATGGATATTTACTTTAGTCTATGGGATGGCGCTACTCTGGCTAACTTTTGGCTTACATTGTCCCAGATTTGTCTATTGGGAACTTTTTCAGTTTGCCTCCTGTGTCCCTTTGACATGCTTCCATAGTTGTTTGAGCACATCTTTATTTTCTGGCATTGCAAGATGTTCTAGATTATCTTGTAATTTTCCTGCCTTGACCTGGAATCAATTATTGCTCAATAGAACTATATATATATTTTAAGTAGGATGTTAATTAGTCATTAACCAGTGTCTAGGCACTAGATACGGAGCATTTGTACCTGAGGGTCAGTGGACTTGAGCAGTATGCAGGCTCAAAGTATATGTGAGCCCCTCCCAGTTATGTGTAGAACTTGGTGTGTATGGCATATGTTTTCATGTTTTTTTTCCTGAGGGGCTTTTATCAAATTGACTATCAGATGACAGTCAGCCTTAAAGAGGTTAAGATCCTGACTTAGACGATCTGAAATCTCTTGGTGGATTTGTGTCTGTTGTGTTTTTATGTGGGGTTGTTTTTCTTTATAGGCATGTGGATATGTCAAATATGTCGACCTAGGAAAAAAGGACGAAAACTTCTACAAAAGAAGGCAGCACAGATAAAACGACGCTATGCTAATCCAATAGGACGTCCCAAAAACAGGTTAAAGAAACAAAACACGGTGTAAGTTGTACTTGTGGCAAGGTGAGGGGAGAAAAGGATAGGGTCCTCTCTATAGTGTAGGATTCTCTTGTTTTCTTTATGAAAAAAATTTCCATTGTTATAGTCAACACTTTTATTTAATAATAATGACTAACACCTTTCAAGCCCTTACCAAACTGCTAGGCACTGTTTGAAGTACTTTACATATGTTAAATGACTTAATTCTCCCAGAAGTGTGAGTGCTCTTATTACTTCTGTTTTTCAAAGGAGGAAACAAAGGCCTTTAGGGCATGGAGAAATGAACTTGCACAAGTGTATGTAGTAAGAATTGCACTGGGATTAAAAGCCAAGTAGTCTGGGACCAAAGTCTGATTCTTTTAACTACTGCCTTATATATTGGGTCATCGGAAAGGTCATGATGCATTTTTGCACAGAAAAACATAGAAAAAAATAAACCATGACTTTTCCAACAACCCAATAGTGTCTCTTATATATCTAAAAAAAATAAATAAATAAGAAAAAAAAGAGGGGAAAGAAAAATTTAGCATTTCACAAGTTCTTCTGATCTAGTGTCAGTTCTTTATGAGGTGTACAAAACACCGGAGAGGTTCGAAGTCCCATTTTTTAATGTTGTACTGATATAAAATAATTCAAATGTTTTCATTTATTAGCAGAAATCAGAAATCGTGGACTAGGAAACTGAGCTATGTCTGGAGGAGGTGGGGCCAGACTTAGGGGTTAATTTGGTCCTCTTGAATATCATAGAGATAGAGATGATATAAAAAATCTCTTGAGGCCTGTGAAGCTCTCTTTATTCTCAAAGGCTGTCCCCGCCTTTTCTACACTTCAGACTATCACAGAGATGACACACTGCAGCAAGCAGGCGTTAGCAGTTTGATATGTGCAGACCCAGTATTGCAGACTACATTTTCATCTTAAATCAAACTTTAATTTTTCTGTGAAATGCTCTTTTGGTTCCTGACTTTCATCCTTGAATTTAGAGGTGAAAGTGTAACTGAGTTGGTGCAGAGATCAGAGTATTATGGGACTTGAGACCTGGAAGCACGTTAGTTGTTCTCTGGTCCAACTCTCATTTTGCACATGTTTAGAGAGGATGTGGTTTGTCCAAGATGTGCAGCTAGTAAGTGGCAGAGTTATAACTTGAACACATCTTTTGACTCCTGTCCTTGGGTTCTTTTCACTATAAAGTAACTAGATTTCCCAGAAATAAATGTTTGTAATAATAATATTACTTCTCATTCATATACTATTTATAGTTTAAGAACATTCTTAATAATATAGTCTTTTAAAATAAAGCTGTAGGTTGTTTACTAATTATGTGTTATACATTAAATAGCAACCTTACAAAGATTTATTTTTAATAGTTACTCTTTTTCCCTGTTTGATTTTTTAGATCAAAAGGTCCCTTCAGCAAAGTTCGAACTGGCCCTGGAAGGGGCCGAAAACGGAAAATCACTCTCTCCAGCCAGTCAGCATCATCATCAGAAGAGGGATATTTAGAGCGAATAGATGGCTTGGACTTCTGCAGAGATGGCAGTGTCCCCTTGAAGTTCAACAAGAAAACCAAAGGGCTTATTGATGGCCTTACCAAATTCTTTACCCCTTCCCCGGATGGGCGGAAAGCACGAGGGGAAGTGGTAGACTACTCTGAGCAATACAGAATCAGGAAAAAAGGCAGCAGAAAATCAAGCACTTCAGATTGGCCTACAGGTAAAAGTCAGAACAAACGTAGATGCAGAAAGTATTTTGAAAGTGTATTATTTGGATTAACACTAATTATCTAGAATAGATTTATCTTTGATTATCAAAATTGGTTATGGAATATAAGAATATATAAGAGATACGTATTTACAGGACCAGCAGTTGGCGTAATGGCTCTGTTGCTGGACTCCCACGTAGTCGACGGTGGTTCGAGTCCTGGACCCAGTGGCTTAAACTTACGCCAGGCACGTGTGCATGCATGCCCAAGATCCCAAGAGGAGAATGGAGAAGGGATTGTGGTGTGGCCATTCCCCCCAGGGGTGATTTCTTGTTTTCTGTCTCTCTGTCTGTCTCTGTCTTTCTGGCGAGTGCACGCCTCCTGTAGCAAAAACCTCCCCCTTCCCTCCCCCACCAAAAAAGATACGTATTTAGATAACATTAAGGTGTGTTAACTTGGCAAGAATTTAGAGGCTTGAGATGAAGTTGCAGAATGGACCAATAATTGCTCTTAGGCAAAAGGAAGCTGCTTTTTTGGTAGATCCGTAGAAAATCTACCTACAGAAATTTGGACTGTAATGTTGAATCAGGTGTAAATTTACATTTCCTAAATTATTGGTAAGTCACATTCTGAACACCATAATGCTTGCTTTATTCCCAGAAGAAAGGTAGACTGGAGATGGTAAAATGCTGTTCATGCAAATATAAAGAAAAGGCCAAGAGGGAGGTAGGCGGGGTTTACAGCGGACCTTATTGAGGACCTGCCAGTTTTGTGTGAACCAGGGGGTCTGCATTCCTGGTGTCTGTGTCAAGGTCGCACCGGCCATTCTTAAGCAGTGAAGGTCATGACAGCCATTTTGATGTGGGCGGCTCCCCACAGCTTGCTTTATTCCCAGAAGAATGGTAGACTGGAGATGGTAAAATGCTGTTCATGCAAATATAAAGAAAAGGCCAAAATATATACAATACAATAAGGTTATTGATTTTTATGTTTTAGAACTCAGCAAGTATGGTTGTAAATGTTCATGGATTACACTTAGAGAACCACAGCTCTAGACTCTGTGTATGTATCAGGCCAAGTTCCCTTGATTTCAAAGTAGAAAACATCTGTGGAGAGAACTTAATCATGTAGCAGATAATTCAAATCAGAGGAGAAGAATTTAAATAGCTGTGCAGATAATTGAAGCTGAAAATAGTCTCATTGCTGAGCCTCGAGTTTAGAGAGTCTAACCCTGTGAAGGAAGTGGAAAGGACTCTGAGGCGATAGAAGAATGAGAATGAACTCTTTTGGATACAGGACCAAAGTTGCAGTGTCTCATCTTTGCATGAGAATATCTAAACTTTCAATTGTTTTTTTCCTTGACCATCCCATTGGTGAGCGATTATACTCATGGCTCTTCACTCCTGTTTATACAAAGTGTCTTCCTAAAGTTCATGGAATAGATGCATTAAGAAAAACTATGCATGGATTTCAAAAAAATTTTTTGCATTCAAATGAGTATTTTAATTCTCTTTTTCCACAACCTTTTTGAAGGTCCCCTAGTATAAATGGTTAATTGGTTCGGTGCGGAAGAAAAATTCCCTATTATTTTCAGGTTTCCCATTTTATCCTTTATTTCTCACCAGAGTGACAATCAGCGAATTATTTTTTAAGCATTCAAGACTTTTCATGTTTTTATCAGCCATGCATTCTGCAGGTAAGATCTAGTCCAAACATTTTTATCTAAAAGAATACGCAGTCCATTTAAGTTTGAATTAACCTCAAAGCAAATCCTAATAGAAGATGTTTTTGATTAACCTGTTTTTACTGGAGGTGGTTAATCAGAAGCATCTAGTGGAAACTCTTAGAAATAGGAATTGTTAAGAGCAAATACATAGTAAATTATGTAGAGAACCAGTATTGACTCTCAGCCTTGGTGTGAGCATTTGTTTTGATAGACTCTGTCATTTTCTTTATGAATTGTAGCATTTAAGGGACCATTTGTACATCATCTGATGCAGCTCTACCTCGTGCTGGGCTTGCTCTGTGCCTGCAACCATCCATGTCGTGCACTAGGGGGCATTAAAGTGACATCAGACCCCGAGGTTCTACTCTGTTTTTTCCTCTTCCAGTTCGGTAATATTGCCCACAGCGAGTCCTTGTCCTTTTTCATCTTGTTCTAAATAAACACCAGACAGCCTATGTGTGTAGTGAATTTGACAAGAAGTGCCACTGGTTAGTCTTTTTTAGCTAGACTCATGTAAAGAGGAAATGAGGCCATCAGCAGTGTCACCTTCAAATGCAAAAGCTAATGATCCGCAAATACTCTCTTCCCTCATTTTTCTGCTCAGTTGAAGAAAATCCATAATTTAGTGACTGATTTTTGTCATGTCTCATACTTAGCAAAGGATTATCATCTGTGATCCTCGGGTTTGTGCACTTTGAAAGGGCATTCACTGTGAAGGGAATTGTTAGTACTTCCTGACATCAGTGAAGGTAGCTATTTCCAAGATGATCTTTTTGAATATTGCTGCAGTAATCTCTTACTGAAAGAATCATACTGATGCTATTTCAAAGTAAATCTTATACTCCTCAGACTTCATTTTACTTTTGTATGTATTAAAATATCATCTTTTTTTTTTTAATTGCCCAAGGGGGCATGTACTTACCAGAGGAAAGAGCGTGAAAGGAGGGGAGACCCTCCTCAATGGGGCATGGTCATGACATATTCCTTTCTCCATTTCTCCATCCTGCTGGAATTATGCGCATGGATGCACATGTGCCCATTGTGTTTTTTAAGTCCCTGGGGCTGGTGACTCTTAACTGTGGTTAACTTTGTAGGATCCAGCTACCTAACCAGTAGACTATAGGGCCAGCCCCAAATGTGATCTCATTTTAATGAAGTTTAAATTTAGTTACATAATGTTTAATTCAGGGTTTTTGCTAAAAGGCAGATATAATCTGTGAGTATCATCTTTCTGGAAGTTACTTTACAGCTCTCCTCTTCATTACTTAAATAGTAGTAGAGATTTGGCATTGCAGTAAAGACCCTGACATGTTTTCTGGTGTACGCATTAAACGAAGGCCAGCACAGTAACATGTGAGCCCTTTCTTTATGTGCAGACAATCAGGATGGCTGGGATGGCAAGCAAGAAAGTGAGGAGCGGCTCTTCGGGAGCCAGGAAGTCATGACCGAGAAAGATATGGAATTATTTCGTGATATCCAAGAACAAGCGCTGCAGGTAAAGTTGGATGTTCAGGTTGGACGATCACACAATTTGTTCATGCATGAGAAACACGATTTATTATAGTGCTCGTAAAGCAGTAACCACAGTTATCTGCCTGGTCTGAGAAGAGGTACAGTCTCTGTGTGTATGTAGTTCTGTTGGTTACGGTATTCCTTTCAAATTCTTGACAAACCAACTGTGTTGGTTTTGCTGATAAACACCTTGCTTTCACTACCAGTATTAAATGAGTTTGGTTTATTTATTTTCTCTCTTATTGTATGAAGAAGAGTTTGAGATTTGACAAAAACAACAACAAATACGAAGCTTCTTGTAAGTGATAAAACCCCTATATTTGTTATTTGAGAATGAGGCGTAAGTATTTCTGCCTCAGGCCTCTATGACACATGCGAGATGTAAGCGTGGAGACAGGATGGGTGCTAGGCTGGGTGCTAGAGATGCTGGAGAGAATGACAGAACGCTTCCCTCAAGTGTAGTCTGGAGAGGCTCGCAAATAACTAATTTTATTAATATGAAAAGTTCAGTTATAGACAACATGAGGTTTTGGGACCATAGGGAAACAAGATTCTCCTCTGCCTGGGGAGATCAGTGGAGGATTCATTGAAGGGTCTTAAAGAATACGTAGGATTTTATCAGGGTAACAGGAAATGAGTCCCCTATAATCAGAAGGAACAGAAGTGAAGATGGAACAGACTGAAGATAAACAAAAAGCATGCTTAATTGTGGGAATTAGGGTAAAAAACATAGCTGTAGAAAATTGTAGGACGTAAAATCGGAAAAGTTTGCAGCAGCTGTATCATAAAGGGCCTTCTAGATTATGTTCATTTACCCTGTCTTTCCCATCTTTGCCACCAGCCAATTCACAAGGTAAGCCAAGGGGAGCCCTCCCTCAGAATTTACAAGGTTGCTGCTGGTGATTCCATATGATTCTTTAGATCAAGAGACCCCTTGGTAAATATACTATTTATGTCTATCATTGCTTCAGTATTTGGAACAACAAAGATAGCACCATAAATACTGAGCAAAGCATTTATTCAGCATTCCACCATTATTACGGTTTAACAGCACTGGCTCTGAGTCAGATAGACCTGCATTCAAGTCTTGGTTTATCATTCCCTAACTTATAATTTAGGCAAGTTGATCAACATCTCAAGGCCTGTTTCCTTTCCTTTTAAGAAGTAAACCAAGTGTCATGGATATAATCTATAGTAGAAATCTATACGAAGCTTAGTGGGGACCCAATGGAGAGAGGAGTTAAATTTTTCCTGACTAGAAGAACGTTTTTCTCCCTAACTTGCAGGCATAATGCCAGTATCCCTTTACTTCTTATTATTCGTGTATATTCATTGACTGGTATTCTACTGTAAGGACGAGTTTTTCTTCCCATTTGTTTGTTCATTTTGTTTAGACTCACAGATTCTTACCGTATGGGTTATAATCCTTTGCTTAAATTATTCCACATTTGGACCAGGGGAGCTTCTTTTAACTTCCTCCTGTGTTCTTTTGACATGTCTCCATCATTTCTATTTGCTTCTGGGTGCAGGAAGATGTTCTAGGCCAGCCTCCTCAGTGTAAGGGACCAGCCTCATGGAAGACAGGCCTTCCACACATGAGGCAAGGTTGGTCCCAGGATGTCCCAGGGTACCACATCTACTGTGCACCCCATTTCTACCACTAACACGTTGCCTTGGTCTGATACCTGTCCATGGCCCGAGGACTGGGGACACTTATTCTAGGCTCTTACTGTTCTAGCTGTAAACCCCTGGTTCCTCTTAGTGAAGCTTGAGAGTACATGGTCACTCCATCTTTATACTTCAGCTTAGACATGAAGAGATGTTTTCCTTGATTTTCTCTCTCTCTCCTGTACTTCATGTTCAGTCCATCAGCAAATCCTCACGGCCCTGCCCTCAGAATATGATTACTTAGTACTACTTCCGAGCACCATCATCTCTGGCTTGGGCTGCTTTCAGTCTCCAGACTAATTTCCTTGTTTGTACTTTTTGCCCCTTGCCCCAGTCTTTATTCTTTTTTTTTTTTTTTTTTCTCACATTTTCGCTATAAGGTGCATGTGCTCACCAAAGCAAGACAGACGGGGAAAGTGAGAAATCACCCCCCGGGGGGGTGGCCACACCACAATCCTCTTTTCCAGTTCTTCTCTCAAGAGTTTGGATACTCACAGACACGTGCCTGTCATGTTTTTCAAGCCACCAGGTCTGGGGCTCCAACTGCAGAGTTGACCATGTGGGATCCAGCACCTTAATCACCATGCCTCCTGCTGACCCTATAGTCTATATTCTTTATAAAACCACTTTGCAAGCTTTTTCAGTGATCTAATGAAAGAAGATGGTAGCTTAGACTAGAGAGGTGGCTGTAGAAATGACAAAGTAGTAGATGGATTTAGAATTTATTTTGGAGATGGAGTCAGCAGAACTTAATAGATTTGAGAGGTTATTAAAGATTACTTTTAGGTTCCCTGACTTAATGTAATAGAGAAGGTAGTTTGAAGCCAATTGGAAAGGTTAGTGTTGACTGGACAAGAGGATGTTTTGAATAATAAAAGGGTTCATAAAGATAATGCAAAAGTCATTTTGAGAACATATAGATGACTTAGTAGAAGGTACATCCACCTGTGTTTCAAAAATTTTTCAGGAAGATTTATTACAAGGTCTTAGTCTTCACAGTTGTACCAATAATGACAGATGATAAAGGAGTTAATACTGCAATTGATCCAACAGAACCTATTTTTTACTGATGCCTACCATGGTTTAGAAACTATGCCAGGTATGAGAGCGCTAAGTAAGACATACTTTTTTTCAATTAGAGTTTACAGTATAGAAGGAAACTTACCCAGAAATACATACCCAAATGTTATTCGCTCTTAATGATTATCTAGAGTGAAAAACAAAGACAAAAACAATCAAAATCAGCATTAAAATTAGTTTGGAAATATTATATATGCTATGTGGTGAAATTTATGTAAAAATGATTAAGTAGAATATTATCTAAGACAAGAATTACTGGAATTTTTTCAAGTTTTTTTTTCGCCAAAAAAAGGCAAGCCATTAATCGGTTTTGATTTTTTTCTTTTGGAATTACATGCAGTATAGGGGAATTAAAGGATAGTTTGCCTGTTACTGTGTTCTGTCGTTAGCCATACAACATACACATCTATAAAGTAAAAAAAACTCTCTTCAAAAAGAAAAAGTTTTGTAATAATAGGTTTTTGCTTCAGAAATATATTTCAACTCTGATCTTACAAGCTTCAAGGAAATGATTTTTCTTAAAAGGTCATCAGCAGAAAGAGGCATCTGTGTTCTGCTCATTACATTGGAGCATGGCGGCCTTCTTGAATGATTGAGTAGTAGAATTATTTTTACCTAAAATATCAGCAAAGAGCACATTGTATTTCCACACTAATTTTAATGCTTTCTGCATTTGGTGGTTATTGTTATTTTGCTTATAGAAAGTTAGAGCATTTTTGAAATCTGTGGACTATTAAAGTAGTTCTGCATAAGGAGTTATACAGTAAAAATGGAGTATGCTAGGTGAAGTGACTTTATTAACTCAGGAGGTAGGTGGTGACCCCATTTCATGTATGAGGAAGCTTTTAGTCAAGTGACTCCCTAAATTGTGTGTTGCAACTGGTAGTAGCAGAGCTGGAATTAAAACGTAGGCCTTGCACCAAGCCTATGTATATGGCACAGTGCTTATTCACTGTGTGGGGGGTACCAGATCCATGTGGCTGACCGTGGTTCAAATCCTGATCCCCATGACCCAAAAAACATGTAGGTTCTTCGTGTGTACCTAACATCCTGATGGGATGGAAGAATGGAAGAAAAAGGATTGCAGTGTGACCAGGCCCTTTGGGGAGTTCTTTCTCTCGCCTTCTCTATCTCTATATCTGTCTCTCTTTCTTGGTGCAAGTTTGTGCCCTGTGGCAAAAAAAGTTAGGCCTGCATGACAGAAAAATCGACTTCTTTTGAGGGCTGAAAAATATTTCCTTGTCAGTTTATACCACACACTGTTTACCCAGCCATCCGTCACCACGCAGAGGTGCTTCCCCCCCTCTGTTACCGTGCATGGAGTTGCCTTGAGCATTGGTGTACACATATCTGCTCAGGGACCTGCATTTCTTTGTTTCCAGGATGTACCTAGGAGTGGAATTGCTGGGTCATGTAGTAATTGTGTTTAATTTTTGAGGAGCTACCATGCTGTTTTCCACAGTAGCTGCACTGTTTCACATTTCTACCAGCAGTGGGACGAGATCCTCATTTCTCCTCGTCCTCACCAGCACTTGTTATTTACTGGTGTTTTGTTCTGATCATCACCACCCTAATGGATTTGAAGTAGTATCTCATTGTGCTTTGATTTGCATTTCCCTAATGACTAGCTCATTTCTTTTCTTTTCTTTTCTTTTTTTTTTTTTGGAGAGTTTTTTTTGCTACAGGGCACGTGCACTTGCCAGACAGACAGAGAGACAGAAAGCGAGAAATCACCCCCCAGAGGGGATGGCCACGCCGCAATCCCTTCTCCTTTATTCTCCTCTCGGGATCTTGGGCACGCACGCACACGCACCTGGCATGAGTTTAAGCCACCAGGTCCAAGACTCGAACCGCGGTCGACTACGTGGGAGTCCAGCGACATAGCCATTATGCTAACTGCTGATCCCTACTAAAGAAATTTTAAGGTATCTAGTTGTGGGTGCCACCCTAAATCCAACAGGACTGTTGACTTACTGCGTATGTATGGATGTAATTCTGTTCCACAATTGGAAATACTCAGAAATACAGAATGTATTTATTCCGAGAGTTTGGGATAAGAGTTCATGGATTTGCAACATCCTTTCTTTGGAAAACTTAAGTTCCCTTTTTTTTTTTTTTTCCACTCACAAAGTTTTGGAATTCAGTGCATTAATAATTTGAGGGCTGCCTGTATTTTCTATCTCACCTCTACCCATTTTGTTCTTTTCTGTTGTTGTTTGTTTTGTTTTGCTTCACTCTTATAATCCTGCCTAGGTGTTTTGCTTCTGAACCTCTGTGAGTCTTGTTTCTCTTACCTGTGAAGTGGGTGTTTCAGGGATGGGTTATGGGAACTAAATGAGAACAGTTGTGAGGCTCAGCACCTGCCCCTGGCAGTAGGCACTCCACAGTTGAGGGTTCTCTTCAATTCTTAGCATTGTCCACTCTGGAACATATGAACTCATTCTTACATACCTCTTTCATCATGTAACTTCTAATCCCTACTGCAATTACTTATTATAGCATTTTGTGTTTGAATGAAAGCATTCAAATACCTGAAAGACATCTCCTCTCCCCAAATTTCAGTCTCATGGTGATAATAAGGGCTAGTCCTAACATCCTATTCTCACCTCCAAAATGTCATTCCTGTAGAGAATGGAGAGGAAGGTGGAAGGTGCACCCTAACAGAGGAAGGGGAAGGGGGCCAGGCTGTGTTAACATAGCTCGTACCCCATCTGGAGGTGGGGTCCCACCAGAGTGGCCGCTGTGTTAGAAACCGGGTTAGGCAAGTCATGTCGTGGAGGCTGAGCTGCTATAAAAGAGTGATAATCTTTTCTTATAAACTGCTTGGAGTACAAATTCCACTATCGAGAAACAGGCCTGTTTAACATTTCTTTGGGTTTAGTCCAGTTATTTGTGCATTTAGCCCCAATTCATTAGATTAGAAGGTCAATTCTGGCCTGGAATATATGTCATCAATTTGGCATATCCAAATGAGGAAGAGAGAGGCAGGCTGAGCTTGATTACAGGTTTAAATATACATATATATTTTTTTTCCCTCCTGGTTATATTAGATACTTGCTGCTTTGGAAAAATCACATTTAATGGAAGTATTTTGGCTGAAATGAATAAAATCCCCTAGCAGAGGTGTTGTTGCAGTTCAGAGGTGACAGTGATTTCGGTGTGCACTGGGTTAACGAGCGGTTTTGCTCTCACCTGCTCCTCCCCAAGTGGAGCCTTGTTACCTTGGAAGCCTTAGTGAAGGGCAGTACCCTTGCTCTGGAGGCTTGCAGGCTGGCCCAAGGGAGCTGGAGCAGTGGAAGACACGCAGGTGTGCGCATGTGCCAGAGCGCCACAGGGTGCCGAGGTGAGGGTGGCTGTGGGCTGAGGGAGAGTGCCACAAGTCTCGTTCTGTACGAACACCTTAGCTGCAGCCATGTGCAAACAGCTGTACTGGAACTGGATAGCCACTTTCACGTCGGGCATCCGCCTGGAAGACGGGCCACTGAAGCAGCTCTCCCGCTGCAGGCCGTGCCACAGCAGGTGCAGTTCAGCGGTGCGCTTCCCACGGAGCCTTGCCCCGGGAAGTTAGGTCGGGTTTCTGGTACTGGGCTATTTTCCTTTCTGCTGTTCTGGCCGTGAAGGTAGATGAAAAGATGCTACTGTACAAATTAGAATATTTGATACTAGAATCCAAAGAGCAGCCTTTTAAAAATCTTGTGAAGTTCTGTTTTGGTTTTGAGAAATGGAAAAATTCTTACTTTAACTCCGTGTTGTGTGTTCTTTCTTGTTTTTGCATTCGGAGGCACCCCAGTACTGCTTGGTATTATCAGTTTACCTAACTAGTAGAAGATGTTTGTCTTTTGTTTTGAGGTGTCTAAGGAAGAGCTTGAGGTTTCCCTTGGCTGTATTCCAGTTTGAAACCTGAGATAAGTCCCGTGGCCTTTTACAAAAGGGAACGGTTAGAAGACCAGGGAGCGTTCTCAAATGAGTTGTGGTGAACAGGCTTCTTTCTTATAAATGAACTTATATACAACCAGTGAGTAAAAATCTCTCATCTTTTTAGTTTTGTTATATGTATATGCATCTATGGGCTCCAACAAGGGACTTTTAAATGATCTCTCAGTGATCTTTTTTAAAAATTTGCTATAGGGCATGTACAGTCACCAGAGAGAGAGAGAGAGAGAGAGGGAGAAAGCAAGCCCTACCACTGGGGGATGTCCACACACAGTCCCTTCTCAGGGTTTTGAGCATGCATGCACGCGGGCCCCGCATGTTATTCAGGCTGCCAAGCCTAGGGCTCGAACTGTGCAGTCGACCATGTGAGATCCAACTGCCTTAGCCACCATGCCACCTGATGGGCCCTCTCATTGTTCTTTAAAGCATAAAGTTGAAGGATAATTTTGATTATCCTTTGATGAACTTATTAATACTTGATTAGGCTTTTAGCTTTCTTTTTGTTTTTAAACTTTATTATTTTTTGAAAGAATTATTTTTTTATTTAATTCCATTTGTTGTTATTATTTTTTTAATTTGACCAGAGAGAGAGAAAGGGAAAGGGAGAAAACAAGCCGTCAGGTCAAGGACTTGAACTGCAGTCGGTCATGTGGGAATCCAGCACCTTTAACCACCACGCCACCTGCCAGCTCCAAGGCTTGTAGCTTTCTTCTTGCTACTTCATATTTGTGGAGCATTTGTGATAAATACACATATGCACATATGTATATAAGTATTGGCCGCTAAATTGAGTGCAAAGCAAATCGAATTGTCCTTGAATTTAAGGCTTTAAAAACTTACCTTTTATCTTTAGTAGTGGCTTATATTTGGTAGTGTGAAAGTCAAGCAAATCGTAAAAGCTTTTAAAGTTACTCTTTTCTATAGTTATTTAGATTATTGCAGGGATGGGGCGGCGTAGAGATTGTGTTCATTATAAACAGAAAGTGGACAGAAAGGATAATCTGTGTACTACAAAGTATTTTTCTGTGGTAAAACCCGTGCAGGACCACTAAAGTGAAGGAGATTTTAGGTAGAGTGTGAAATGCATCAGAGGTGCTCTTGATACTTGTTTTGTCATATCCTTTTTATATTGTTCTTCAAATCTACTCTTCCAGTCCAGAAAACCCTAATTTTCTATATGTGCTTACATATTCAGGAGGTGGTTTCCACGTGGGCTGAGGCCACACGTGCAGCACCTTGTCAAGTATGCAGCATGCCCTACCCCTTTTCAGATGTTTATCCTCTGTCTTCAAGTTCTTGTAATTTCTGTTTAATAACTGAGTGTTTAAGGGAGTGAGTTTAGTTGAGGAAATATTCTGTGTTATTAAAAACAGAAAATTCAGTGATACCAACTGCATTTGCTTCCAAGTGATTGATTAGCATTTTTATTCTATATCTGGCTATCCTATTTAAGCAATAACACATCTTGTTTCAAAACTTGTTAGCTGTTTCTGGCTTTTTTGTTGTTCTGTAGAATCCTCAGAAAATAACATTTAGATGTAGAAATTTGTTGTTAACTCATATATCTAACTTAGCTAACTTTTGTAATGTATTTCTTGACTGCACAGAAAGTTGGAGTGACTGGTCCCCCTGATCCACAAGTTCGCTGTCCCTCTGTCATTGAGTTTGGGAAATATGAAATTCACACCTGGTACTCCTCCCCATATCCTCAAGAATACTCAAGGTATGTTTTAAGAGATGCTTTACCTTCTGTTTTAGATTCATAGAACTGTAGAATTGGAAGGGACCTTGAAGAAGTTTTGGTCCAGTTCATCTTTTTCCATGTAAGGAAACCAGGGGGCTCTGACGTGTCCCTAACAGCAGCCTGTTTCAGCACACGCTCAATCCCAGTTGACTTCAGACTCTCCCTGTGCTCTGCCCAGAAACTGGTGAAAATGCGAAACCTGTCACATGGCCACAATGACAGGGGCACTTTTTCTTTAACAGGGATTGGTCTTTACTAGCAATTTCTGAAAAAGAAAAAAGGGAGAGATCCTTATATATTAGCAATAAATAAGTTTCGCTCAAGTAGCCTTCAATCTAAATTTCTCTAATCTAATAGACTAGTAAATGGTTTGTTTTCCCAGGAATAATTGGACAAATGGAATAAAATTATATATAAATAGCTTGAGTTTCCAGATATGAAAGTTAACTACTCACCAGTTTTGGGGACAAGGCAGGGTGGAGCCAGATTGGTTTCCTGACTCAGCTCTGACAGCAGAAGCAGAAGTTACCCAGCTACTCTGGGCCTCAGCGTCCGCATCTATACACTAGGGAAGCTGGTCGTACATGTCGCAGAGGGTTATTGATAAAGCTAGATGAGCTAAACCCTGAGTCACTTAGGAAACGGTATGTTTTCGGTTATTCTCCCTTTAAGGGTGAAATTAAAAATGAAGTAATATCATAAAAAATTAAGCACTGGTCGGGAACCAGCAGTTAGCTTAGTAATGGCTATGTCGCTGGACTCCCATGTAGTCGACCGCGGTTCACGTCCCGGACCCGGTGGCTTAAAACTCACGCCGGGCACGTGTGCGTGCGTGCCCAAGATCCCGAGAGGAGAATGGAGGAGAAGGGATTGCGGCGTGACCATCCCCCCTGTGGGGTGATTTCTCGCTTTCTGTCTCTATGTCTCTGTCTGTCTGGCGAGCGCACGCGCCCTACAGTGAAAATCCCTCCAAAAAAAAAAAATTAAGCACTGGTTTATCATTTGCATATAGCAGTCATATTAATGCTCTCTAATCTGCAAACTACTTATGTCTCAGTTTCCCACTTAGCAATGTTACAAGGAGTAATAGCTGGTAGTGTTCTGTTCCAAAGAACGTATGTTCCAAGTATTCTCATTATATAAACTTTTACCTGTCTTTTACACATTTTCTGTCTTTAATATTAGCAAAATTAATTGTTACAGCATTTACTTTATAATATGTAGAGTGCTTTAACATGGGTTTTTTCTGAGAACATAGGGATAGGCCAGTGTAGTTGCTAAAGGACCATCCATTAAAACTCAGTATCTTGTTGTTTTTCTTTCCATATAATGTAATAACTTGTTTAAGCAGGAAAATAGGAGCACAGAAACTATGACAGTTACTGACCTCAGTGAAGAAGAGACAACCACAAAAGAGGAAAAAGCAGAACTCCAGTAAACTAACATGCAAGCTTATGAAAGAAAAGTTAAGAGCCATTTGCTGTAGGGTCATTTAGCCCCAAACACGGTAGTATATCTTCAAGGCAGCACTCTGTGTTAATTAATAATTAACAATTAATTAATAATCCGAGTATGTCAAGAGAGGACTAAATTACATTTATATATATTAGGTTATCTGGAAAGTCACGACATATTTTTCTGTGTTTTTCTATACAAAAAATGGGACAGGACTTTCCCAACAATCCAATGTATATAAAAATATACTTTTACATATCTGTTAAAAGAAGGTAGGAAAGAGCTTAACTCCCTGCAGAATCCAGGTGTTCAAGGTAAGTCATTCCTCAGAGTTCTGGATAGCTAAGGTCTTGTATGATCAAGGAAAAGTATGCTGAGGAATTCATTTCCTAATTAGGTTTAAAATAAATTATTGCAGTCATTACTTCAGTGAGCTCTTAGCAGTCTGTCCACATTACAGGACGCCCCAGCTTAGAGAAGAACGCTTATTCAGCCCCTGTCCCAACTGCTCCAGGGTCGTGTGCAGACATACTGGAGGGAAAACAAAACAGGTGCCTGTTTCTTCCACGCCGGGCAGGGGCAGGCCATCATGGAGTAGGAAGTAGAAGAGCCAGAGCGTGATGAGAATGGAACCCTGAACTGTTGTCTTTTAAGACAGTAAAAGGATTCATTAAAATACTGCTTTCTGCTCTGATGAGGCTGTTGCTAGAAGCAGGTGTGAGGGAACTGGCTATCAGTACAGGAATAAGTGTTGCCAGCAGAAAATAACCAAGGAAAACAAAGATAGGAATTGTACTGGAGAGCAGAAACAAGGCAGGAACTGTAAATTTCATCATCTCCCTTAAGCAGAATTGCATTGTCTGTACATTTCTTGTGTGTAGGGTTCCTTGAGTTTCCATTAGAAAATATCCCGTAATTTACCAGGTTCTTTATTAATACAACTTTTTCTATCTATGTGTTCTTAGTTCTCTTAGTTACATTAGCTACTCATATCTATTTGAGCTTAGGCTGTTTTATTTCTGAGTTATTTTAGATTTCAGTTGACTAAAATAGAGATTTTATATTTTTCAAATAATAAACTTCTTTCTTTAATTGTAATGTGTATTTATTTTCTTTTGCTAAATTGCTTTTATTTTTAAAGGTTTTGAACAACTTTTTTAAAAAAATTCAGATCCCGGGGGTGGCAGGTTGCATGGCGGTTAGGGGCATTGGACTCCCACATGGCCAACTGGTTTGAGTCCCAGACTTGGCGGCTTGCTTTCTCACTTTCTCTCTCTCTCTCTCACTCTCTGTCACTCT